CTGGCCCTAAAATAGTAGTTTTTCTGTATCGATTCAAAGAAATAAAGCTTTTACGAATTAAGTATTGACAAGAGATATATATATATATATTGTGTTGCCATTTGTTACCAGAAAACTCTAAAATAAACCTCTGAACTCTGTAAAGCATGAGTTTTTTAAATAGACATTTCAAAGAATGGAAATTGAAAAAGTCAATATCAGACAGTTATGAGGCTTTTTAACTTGTCGATTGACATTAGTTTTGCTTTCATACCCCACTGAGTTCAGAGCAAAATGTCTAGGTGGAAAAAACAAGTCATGAGAAACTGCTTCATTTTTTTAATATGAGCAAAGCTGCAAAAAAAGTTTAAATTAAAATTTAAAAATTCACAAAAGTTACATTTGGTAGCTTTACCTGAAAAGCTGGAAGGCACTGAGGCCTCAGATAATGAGGTCCCAACTTCAGATGTTATACATTAGTAACAAAGTATTTTTTTTTTCCTTCCCAGAGTTCATTTCATTCAAAAGAAAAGAGAGTTTTGGTGAAATTCTCTTTGGTGTTTTAACATCTGGTTATGAAGTTTTGATTGAGATACTTCCTCTTTTCAACAGACAGTACTGCAGCTTCCCTGAGTTTTCATCTTTCAGTTTAGTCATATGGAAGGAGACCATGAGTGGCCCTTTTCTATGAGGATTTTTCAAAAGTAGCCATCACCCTTAAAAAAAATTCTGGAAAATTAATTTCACCTTCCTCTGGGGGAAAAAAATGGGGAAATCATCCATCAAACTACTTTGTCCACAAGGTTGGTGGTCATTTGTGCTCAACTCCAGGTTAGGTATAAAATCTTTCATCTAAGAAAATAAAATCAAAACAAAGAAAATCCTAGCAAGAACTCTTTACAATTACACTTGAACTGGTTTAAACTCCTCGTTCCTTACATTTTTTTCTCTGTGAGATTTGCTTAGCCATTTTATTCTTTTATTTTCTCCCCCCCCCCCCCTTAATCCGGGTATATACCAACCAACTTCTAATGATTCTGGGCAGTTTGCAAAAATATGAAAAATTACCAAGCAATGAATACAGCAAAAGAACAAGAGGCAAAGATGGCAAACTGAGCAACAATACATATCCATCCTAAGCAAAGAAAGACCTTAGTAAAGAGCCAGGTTTTCAAGGCCTTTTGAAATATCAAGAAGTAGGTAGGGAGCCCCCTGGATCTTAGGGGAAACCTCATTCTGGAGAGGCCTCAATAGATGGAATTGTTTAATTGGGATGACCCAGAGCATCTTTAACCCTATTGAACTGAAGTGGCTAAGCAGGTATTAGGGAAGACAATTGCTTTTGAAAAAGAAAGCCAAGAAAGAAAGAAAAACCAAATCAAAAGAAATCATGAGACATTATCCATTATCCCCACAACAGTTTCTAGGATACAGTGGAATTATTCTGTTTGAGCTAGTAAAAGGCATTCCTGCTATTCCTGCATATGCCTTCATCTCCATCTAAGATTTGCGCTACACATGGACTAAAATGGAATGCCTGCTATGTAATTGCTGCCATGAACCAAAGGCCAGCTACTCAATTTCTATTCCACTCCTTCAGGTGAAAATCTTACATCAGTCTTTTTCTTTTTGGCTGGCTCTTTAGAAGATAGATAAAAATTCAAAAGTCTGGAGAAATCTCTTCATTGTATTCATAAGAACATGTATCTGAAGATTGGATGGACCTTCATAGCCTTGCAAATAATATCTAACAGAAGTAAAGGAATATGAGCAGAAGCAAGAATTCTCTTATATGCTAGTATTTGCTCTAAATCCTTACAAGGCCAGTTGAAATCCCACAGGACCTTTTACACCCAGTAATGTACACACACTTACAAATGCCTGATAAAATGGGCAAGGTTGTTAACTTGGGGTAGTTGTGTTTTACAAGTTGTCTCAATGATAACAAAAAACTTAGCAGCCTTTTTTTTTGCTCTCAAAGACTCCTCCTAAGTCAACAAGCCACCCAAAAGACCTTTAGCTCACTAACACAGATGTGATAACAGAAGCTGAGCTCAGCCTCGGAATGCAAACAGAGAACTGTGTTGAGGCAGACCACGGAAGCAATCCTTACATGCATTAACACTAACCTAACTAGCAATTGAAAGAACAGAGAAGAGTCCGTTGTCTATCCTGTCCCCATCATACGGTGTTGTGGTTCCAAGTGCTAGCTGTGGTTTGAAAGTAGTTGAGTGCAATAACATGGTAGGGAAAAAAAATGTTTCGGTTAAGCAGTTAGAAAACCACACACAAATATGTTGGTTCTTCGAATTAGACTCTCTCTCTCTCTCTCTTCTGAAGGCCACCTGCTATCTTTCAAGGATGAGCGAAGTCACGGCCAGTTCAAATTCCAGCAATGATATAGGAAGACCTCAGAAGCACAGAGAGAAATAGAGAAGCAGCTCCTCATTTTCACTTATACATTGCTTATGGAGGAATACATGCTCTTTAGCTCTCTCTAGTTCTGGTTCTCCTTTAGCAGTTCAGTTTTGCGTTCTCGGATTTCCACACAGGAATCGATGAATGCAGCAATTAGAAAATAAAATAAATATGAATGATTAGACATGCAATTTAGTTAAAAATCAGGAAATCAACCAAAAGTTCATCATCATCGTTTCAAACCTTTCTAGTTCTCTGACACTAGAAATAATCATGCTTTTTATCTAAATAGCACAGGTAGTAGAGATGTTTGTAATGTTTTGCTCATTTTCATTTACATCTTAGCATACCTCAGTGAAGGACTTCATAAAGTTTATAATACAAGACCTCCCTGAGGAGATAGCTGTTGGAACTGCTTAAAATTGCAGCTGAACAATGTGGAAGTTACTTCCCACTACACCCTTTCTCGTGTTCTCATTTGCAAATGCAATACCCAATTATGCTACTGTGGTAATAGACGAATGGAACTTTAGAGCAATTTAACAGGGGATCTTTCTATCACTCCAAAATCAGGTCCAAAGATGTGTATTCTCACACCTTTAGCAGCTAAACCAATCGATTTCTACCGTAGCCAAATGAAATAGCACAAACAAGTTATCTTTCTGTAAGCAACAGTAAAACCCCACAGAACATTTGGGCTGTCTCTCCATCATTGCAGATATTGTCCCCTGGCTTCATTTGACATAGCATTCTAATTCTGAGTCCTTCAAAGGGAAAGATGCTTTGACCGCTCTGCAGGTTCCATTTCATACCAATTCCTCAGATTAGCAAATGCAAACCACACTGGCCATCCCAATTTAAGCAGAAGCCAGAACTGATCTCAGCTCTTTTGGCTCATCTCAGATTCTTTATGTCGGGGGGGGGGGTCCCAACCTCCTGTCTGTGGACCGGCACCAGTCCATGGCACGCCAGAAACTGGGATCCACAAATAAGCAAAGCCCCATTCATGGGATTCAGACGGCATACAAAACCAGCCAGCTGCAGTCCATGGAAAACCTCTCCCCACGGAACCAGTGCCTGGTGCCCAAAAGGTTGGGGGCCACTGCTTTATATGTTTCTGCCCAAGGGTCAGGTGCTGAAACTGACATGAGGATTGTCTCCTTTTTCCTTCTCCTTGGCAGGAGATCAGTTCACTGCAAAACATCAGAGCAACTGTCTCATAAGGGAGGACTATTGATTTCGTCTGGCATGGGGAATGACGGGATTTTTGTTCTGCCACTTGCTGGTATCTCCAGCTCCCACAGCAACCTTCAGCATCCCATTCATAGGATGTACCTACCCTCCCATCTGCTTCAGCCGCTTTAGCAACTTGCATCCAAGATTAGAGTTATTGGGGAGAGTACTGGATTGCCAAATTGCCTTCTAGCAAAAGGCTTTTGAAATAACAGAGGGAAAGAAACCTAGAAGTGCCAAAGTTGCTTCTTGGAGATAAGTAATGACTGACTGGTCGATGAAGATTCTCAGTCATCCAGGTAAAATTGTCAGGAAGTTGA